TTTGATAGTACAAAGATCCTTGTAACTGTAAATAACTTTGGTCTTAGGATTGTACAGTCCGTCCCCTGTATCGTAGTAGCCAGGAGGTATTTCAATCGAGGGCTGGCGAGCCGTCATGTATGATTTGCCAGCCGGCTGAATGTTTTTTGCGTATTCTATGTCAAACCTGTAAAAATTCAATTATGAGTGGTGGCGTCATTTTCAATGTAATTTGTCTTTGAAGTAAAGAAACTAAAACATTACTAACATTACACAAAATTACAAAGTTTGCAGTTTACCATAACATAACCTAAAAACGTTCCCAACCTGAAAATAAAAATACCCTTCTTTTCGTACCTTACGTATATTTTTAACTTAAAGCATTAGATAATCCCACATAATGCCTATCCCCGCTTATTCACGCATCCCGTTTCGGATACAAAATTTAAAAAACGCTACGAGAAAGGCTGTTTCATCATTTATCCTCATTAGAATAAACGGTCTTTTTGAGGCAAAAATCCGTATAAGTAAAACAAATCATTATGATGGGCGATTAGTGTGAGTTAGGCAAAAAATACGCGGGAAATGTTTTTGGCGCGCAATTCATTGCCGCCATTTTTGTACGTACCGAATGGAACGAGATATAATTCTGGACTAACATTGTTTGCCTTGTGGATGCAAAATGTTCCTAAATACAAGAAATATTTCTGTATATAGAATAAGTTTTAAAATATGCAATTATTAACGGCGGTGGCTGGCTTTTATATAACTTTTTAAAATATTTTTGTCACTATAATACGTGCAAACATGACTTTAATGAGGGCGTGGAGATGAAGTATTAGTTTGAGAATAGGTTTTAGATTACGCAAACGCAAGTTAAACTCTATTTAAACAAATTGAATGACAATCGATGTACACGCGCTGTAAAAACATTTGTCAATTAGCAACTTCTTTATGCTATGGTTAAACCTGGACCAAGAAGCTAAAGCTGATTGTGTAAATTTTTTGTGTCAAATTTAAGATATAATGTAGGAAGTGACATACCATCCTAGAGGTAGAATCCATATTTAATGCACCAACTTTGGTGAAATTTGCCACTACCACTGCAGTACAATATTTTTTCATTACAGTCACTTAAACTATGGTGAATAATTTATTAAGAACACTTGGTTCGTCAAAAATCAGCATTCTTTTCCAAACTAAAGTAGTTGGTTCAGAATTTATAATTCCATAATACTGGACAACTATTCAGGATAACGTAAGCAAAATTACAAACGAAAAAATAAAGAATTGTAGCAACAAAGAGTCAAAAGGCTGGCACAGGGTGTACTTAATCGTGGATAACACATAAATCATGGTAATTTAAAAACTATCTGACTTGGAATTTTTCAAATATTTTTCTGATAACTGTAACCTTGTAACTGGAACCTTGCGGATCACCTGGTGCTATTTCATTGTCGATTTCAGGGACACACTGTATATATGGTATATTTTACACTAAAATACTTTATTTTATAGTTTTTACCGTTAACCTTTTTTAATTAATAATCAGAGAAAACCTGGCAAAAAGCAGTTTAATGTTTCTTAAACTTATCACATTACCTTTATACATTTGGCACGGAATTGCATTTGTTCGTACGGAATATTGGGTAAATCCAAGGACAAAACAGGGTGTAACGAATCTCAGATTATAATCTAATTTCACATTCAATTTGGAAAATGTTTCTGTGGGTTGTACAACTTTTGGGTCCCTAACATAGAAACTTTGGTCTTGTTCGGATTACATTATTGTTTCAAACAAAAAGTGACAGAAAAATCTACTTTTGTTTACTTTGATTCATTTTGAACTTGATAGTTTCTTTGATTAGTAATTAAAAAATCCAAAATCGAAAATTTCCATCTACGGTTGGTAATGTTTAATTGCATTTTATTTAAGTGTGGGAGAGCCATGCTTCGGCAGAAATGGGCCGGCTCGACCGAAGTGATACCACGGCCTCACAGAAAACCGACGTGAAGCAACGCTTGCGTTGTGTTTCGTCGTGTGAGTGAGGTTACCAGAGGCTAAACTTACCTCCTCTTCCCCAATCTCTGAATCCCCAACGATCCTCAAACTCCTAATCCCCAAAAAGCTGGTAACGCCCTTGTAACGCCTCTGGTGTTCCAGGTGTCCATGGGCGACGCCGATTGCTTACCATCAGGTGATCCGTCTGCTCATTTACCGGCTTATGCCATAAAAATATATTTAAAAATATTCAAGTTACCTCCTATCAGGTTGATTACAATATGTCCACTTGCTGTTTTCGCTATACTCGAGGGTATCAGAAAAGTGTAACGTCCTCGATGTCATGATACCATTCTCCCATTTACCGCGTATGACGGCGCGGTATTCTGCGGGGTCTGTTTCGTATACCAACTCACCAGTCCCATGGAACATGCCTTGTTCGAACTGTCCTTTGTAGACAACCCCTAAAATATGACTAGAGTGATTACAAAGTAAAATTATTAGTCGAATGGGTTTGGTCTACAACCTTCAGGCATGGCAAGGACCACTAACGTGTACAGACGTATGGAATCCTAAGGTGCAAAATAATCTGGATTGCTGTATCCCTGATGTAGGTGTTTATGTATTAGGCAGCATACCACGATGGTGTTTATCTATTCAGTCGGTAAGAGATAGTCTCAGATTTAATATCACTAATGTTAATCTTATTTACCATTAGGAAACGTGTATTCGCCATAGCCAGTCATACCGAATGGTCCCCATCCGCCTTTGTACTTCGATTTCGTTTTGAAATCCTTTTTAAAAGATTGAGTTACAGCTGGTTCGATAGATGACGAACTGTGGAAAGTATTTTGTTTGCAGTTTTACTACATATGTCTCATACGGGTTGCCTTTGGGCAGCTTCAAACAGTAACAGATTATGATAGTTGTAGAGAACCATACCTCGGTACGAATGGGTCGGCTCGCCCATAAAAACTAATTCATTTCATCCTTTGCTTTGAAAATATAGGTAAAGGAAGGCAAAGCTGCTCTCTGTTAGGCGACCATGATAACGATATAAGTATGGCGAGTCAAACTCACGGCTGTATTAATATGTACCTCTACCTACTTACCGACAGACCTCTTTATGTTTTTCGGAAAAATTATGCATAAGTTCCAGCCATTGTGATCCGCGTCTATCTTGGTTTTCGCTAAAATAAATTGTATAATAAGATATAGTCGTATTTTTTTAAAACGGTTTTACTAGAAACTAAATTATTTACCTACATACATAGGTACATTACGTTTAACTCGGAACAAAAGTTTTAGTGTTCTCGATTACTAAAATTGATTGAAAATTAAAAATATTGGTTATTTTTTACTTACGTTGTTTCCATACTGGGTTTATTAATAAAACACCACTGAAATAGAAGTTAGTAAGTATTAACAAATAAAGTTAAGTGACCATAATGTAAAAAAATAAACGTTTCGATTGGGTTTGGTGAGTTTGTCCATGACCGACTGAAAATCGATTACTGCTTTATATAATAGCATTTTAAATATTATTCATTTATTGACCATGGAATATCTTCATAGATTATAACCAAAACCATCGTTATTTACGTATATGGACTTACCGCAGATATGTGTTTCAAAAGTTCTGTAAAAATATTGCTATAACTCTTTTCTATTAAAAAAAAAAAATAGAACAATTACAACAAATTAAAAAAAAGGTGAAACACAAACCGTTTTACATAATTATTATTATTATTTACCAAATTACCAAAAAATGTGTAAAATACAAAAATCACAATTACTCTCCGCCCCTTTTGTCAAAGTGACATTGATGGACGTTAAAATGTCATTTGAATTTTTATTCTAAATTTAAATTTAGGACTACTAGCACTAAGAAGGTATTCCGGCAAGGTTTTATTCAATAGAGGCTGCAGTAAAGTTAAGTCTCTTTTTTGTAATACGAAAATGCACCGAGGATTATTTGTTTATTTTTATTTGTTTCTTCTAAAAACCGTCCATAAAGGGCAATGCTTGCGTTGCTTCAAGTCGTGGGTTACCGGAAGCCCAAATACCTGCCCGCTCCAATCACCGAATCCCCGTTTACCAGCTTTTACCATAAAAAAAGGTGTGTTAACTCTCTCCGAGAGCTGATAATATTATCTAAGTTACAAATATTTACTTACGTTATTCTTGAATTTTTACTTAAATACGTTTTTTACGAGCAGACGGATCGCCTAATGGTAAGCAGTCGGCGTCGCCCATGGACACCTGGAACACCAAGGTGTTACAAGTGCGTTACTGGCCTTTTGGGAATTGGTAATTTGAGGATTGTGGAGGATTCAGAGACAGGGGAGGGGGGGGGGGGGGTAATTGGGCATCCGGTAACCTCACTCACACGACGAATCACAACGCAAGTGTTGTTTCGCGTCGGTTTTTTGTGAGGCCAGGGTACCACTCCGGTCGATCCGGCCCATTATTGCCGAAGCATGGCTCTCCCACATATTAAGAAACGATGTCTGAAATATTAACTTAAGTAGCATGAAACTTAGTAATGTCGACGTGTAGGATGTGGATTCAGCAGTCAATGTGCCGACATTATAATTGCTAATGGCTTCATTGCTAAAAGCCTCGACCAACACCTGAGTAGCCCAGCGTTTGATAGTTGGAGAAGAAGCTCTGACCGTGAGCCTTGACCAGCGTAACTTGGATTTCTCCCATTATTGGTGGGCTCCTGCTTTTAAATGTTTTTTTTTTTATAATCAAATAGTTAAAAATATATAAATCAAGTATAAAAAAAAAAATAACTTAAGTAAAAAAACTAAATAATTTTATAATTAAACAGTTTATTTAAGTTATAAACAGTCAAACGAAAATACTAAACAGAATTAGAATATTATAATTAGAAATATATAAAAATAAATCAGTAGCAATAAAATAAATTAAGAAATAAATAATTTAAAAATAATGCACTATGTTTAAGGAAAGCAGATAAATATATACCTGTAGCTAAAATATATTCTTATTGTTAGTTGGCAGGTCTGAACTTTCGTGGAGGAACTCTGTAAAAATGAAACACATAAATAAAAAAAAAAAAATTAATTCTCTCTGATGTCGCTTGTCAAGAAAGAAAAGCTTGTCTTGAAATCCGAAAATATAGATATTACAAAAACAAATGCCTCTGCTCGTTGGCCGGGTGGTCGCAAGTGCGACTGCCGGGCAAGGGGTCTCGGGTTCGATCCCGGGTCGGGCAAAGTATTACTGGGTTTAAAAAAAAAAACTCAGTAGTAGCACGGAGTCTTGTGCCCGGTAAATGGCAACAGGCTCACCCACTATTACATGGGACTCATAACATAAATAGTGAAAAGTGGGTGTTACATTGTACAGTGGCATAATGTGCACCTCTGCCTATATAATAATAACCAAATCGGTTCAGCAGTTCTCAAGATTTAGCGTAACAACGAACGGAAATTCATTTTTTTTATAAAGATAGATGACGTAAGTATACGTATAAGATTATTTAATTGCATACGAAGTAAAATTCTAATAAAACTGGCAATGTTTGATCCAACCTTTCTACTGACGGAGACCTAAGTTTCGTTGGATTGTAGAAGTCCCTTAGAGCCTTATGCTGCAAAATAAAGAAATTGATTTAGAAGCTTATTCATTATTTGGTATTATGTCGTGTTTCGATGGTGGGAAGTCAGTTAGTAATTCATTTTTTTTAGCTACGATAATCATCAAAAATGATTCCTCTCGCCTTAGATGAAGTAAAAGTGTCAAATGACGAAAAACTGAACTTTGAACTGAAACCCTACCCTATCCCACAACCCTTGTGATTGTCCACAGCCCCGGTAGCAGCTAATAAAACTACAGGTAAGTAACTACACATAACATAACAAGCAGCGTCAATTGTAATAAGTGACATTCTAGGTATCCAATAAATAAGTTTGGCTAGTTTTAAGTAATACTCAATACTCAAGCATTGAAAGTTTATTATAAAACTAATTCTTATTAGAAAACTGCGGAATGCTCGTCGAAAGGACGTTACAACTTTATGCGCGGGAAACTTTTCTAATCTGTGACATTTGACAGATGACAGTGTCAACATGACAGCTAGTGCTGTCGATAATATAGATTAAACTAGTGACGTTCATTTTGTTGATTTTTATCGTCTAATATTAGTAAACCCTATTCTTAGTCACTGTTATCTGAATCATATCAGCCCACCACTGCTGAACATAGTTCTTCCCCATGACTTCCAAATAGGCCAGTTGAGCAACTTAACCTTGATTAGGTCATCTGCCCACTTTGTTGGTAGACGCTGTGTAGTGTTTAATTATAAAAAAAACATACTTGTCCTATATCGAAATGAGAACTTCTTCTGGATGTAAAGCTAGTGGCTGGTGGTGGTGGTGGTTGGGCCAGAAGCAGAGATGGTTGTTTATAGGTCTCGTACAAATCAGGACGAGGACCCAACGGCTTCACGTCTGCAACGCGACAGTTCTCTACTATCCATCGTTGTTCTCGTAATGACGGAGCCCTGTGGACAAGAATATTTTTAAAATACAATTTATTTATGACTAAGTTTTAATAACTATTCTTATAATTCATAACTTTTTTTAAAAAAAATATTCAATGATTTCTCCCGCCTGGGTGAGGCAAGAGCGAGTGTCAGACTTACTGACTAAAAACCACCCCGTTCCTACTCCTATGGGTTATTGGGTCAGTTGGGAAAGTATCACAAACTGTCGACGTATTATTTTTTTAATATACTACTTATACTGCAATGAACCAATTAGCAAACATCAGACCTTAATCTGGCCAGAGAGCAGTAGCAGGGAGCTACTGATTTACTCAAATGACTCAATCACGCCACTTGACTTATTTCTCAATTTACACTAAAAATGTATACCTTCTGATAGTACAAAGGTCCTTGTAACTGTAAATAACTTTTGTCTTAGGATTGTACAGTCCGTCCCCTGTATCGTAGTAGCCGGGAGGTATTTCAATAGAGGGCTGGCGAGCCGTCATGTATGATTTGCCAGCCGGCTGAACGCCTTTTACGTATTCTATGTCAAACCTGTAGAAATTCAATTATGAGTGGTTTTGATAAGTATGGCCATGTTCAATGAAATTTTAATTTGACCTGACTTTTACCTCAAACAATGATTCCTTGATTAAAAGGTGTTGTAAATGTAATCGTAAATGTTTGTCAAATGACGAAATGCAATTGCAATAAAGATTTTTTAGGTGCTACTAACCAATTCGTTTGATAAAAAGTTTAAAAGTAAGTAAATTACCTTCTATCAGGTTGATTACAATATGTCCACTTGCTGTGTTCGTTATACTCGAGGGTATCAGAAAAGTGTAACGCCCTCGATGTCATGATACCATTCTCCCATTGACCGCGTATGACGGCGCGGTATTCTGTAGGGTCTGTTTCGTATACCAACTCACCAGTCCCATGGAACATGCCTTGTTCGAACTCTCCTTTGTAGACAACCCCTAAAATATGACAAGTGTTATTACAAAATAAAATTATTAGTCGAATGGGTTTGGTCTATCTATGTGATAAATTTTATTAGAAACTACTGGGCGAGCTCATACATAGTTGTGATCTTCAGGCACGGCAAGGACCACTCGGGACCAGTAGACTCACGTCTACAGACGTGTGGGATTCGGAGGTGCAAAACAATCTGGATTGCTGTATCCCTGATATAGGTGTTTATGTATGAGGCAGCAAACCAAGATGGTGTTTATCTATTCAGTCGGTAAGAGATAGTTTCAGATTTAATATCACTAATGTTAATCTTATTTACCATTAGGAAACGTGTATTCGCCATAGCCAGTCATGCCGAATGGTCCCCATTCGCCTTCATATCTCGATGTTGTTTTGAATTTCTTTGATGATTTAGTTACAGGTGGGTCGATAGATGACGCACTGTGGAAAATATTTTGTTAGCAATTCTACTACATGTGTCATACGGTTTGTCTCTGAACACTTTATTCATGGATTGGTAGATTTTAACAGTAACAGATTATCATTACAGTGTCATTACGACCGACTCGACCGTAATGACACAACAGCCTCTCAGGAAATCGGCGTGAAATAATGTTAGCCTATAAAAGCTTATCACTGCGAGGTCTGCCCGGAGGACACGGTGGAGCATACGGTGGCTGTGTGTCCTGCGTGGGTTGAGTACCGCCGTGTCCTCAGGGATGTGATCGGCGACGGCGACCTCTCGCGTCCGGCTCTGGTTCAGACCATGGTATGGAGCGAGAGGGACTGGGATGCTGTCTCCTCCTTCTGCGAAGCAGTCATGCTAGCTAAGGGAGGCGGGGCCCGTGTGGGAATGAACCTCCTCAAGCCCCAGCCGTCGCGAGAGACATTCCGAGCGTCGGGGATCGCGAGACGATCTCCGGCCACCGTAAACACGGGCTTGCGGACGGCGAGCACGGGTGACTCGTCGCCTGACCAGAACCAGGCCCGAACGTACGGCGCGTCGCGTTCCGAGCGCGCTTCAAGGAGCCATCAGACCAACACAGATGGGGCCCAACATGGCTGATGCCGATACGGAGATGCTGAAGACTTTACGGGTTGCCGGGGCTCCGGCTCGAAGGGCAGGAGTAGGAAAGGGGTGGTTTTTAGTCAGTAAGTCTGACACTCTCTCTCGCCTCCCGGGCGGGAGAAGTCATTGGATGATTTTACCCCCTCAAAAAAAAACCCATAAAAACTTATTCATTTCATCCTAAGCTTTGAAAATATAGGTACAGGAAGGCAAAGCTGCTCTATGCTAGGCGACCATGATAACGATATAAGTATGGCGAGTCAAACTCACGACTGTATTAATATGTACCTACTTACCGACAGACCTCTTTATGTTTTTCGGAAAAATTATGCATAAGTTCTAGCCATTGTGATCCGCGTCTATCTTGGTTTTTGCTAAAATAAATTGCGTAATAAGAGATAGGTATATTTTTTCAAACTGTTTTACTATACAACTAATTTATTTACCAACATAAATTATGTTTAAATTGCTAAACATTTTATGTACTAGGTACAATTTCTTCAGAACAAAAGTGCCTGTTGCCAAAATTCAATCATAAATAAAAAAAATATTTATTTTGTACTTACCTAGTTCCCATACTGGGTATATTTATAAAACAACCCTGAAATAAAAATGGCCTGTAAGTTATCTCAAATAATTAGTACTGTAAGTTCGGTAAACATAATGTGAAAAACTTTTTAACGACAGATTAATCTGGGGTGGGTAATTTGATCCTTAATTGATTGATTATCTTTCCTGCTTTTTAGTACACATTTATTGATCGACCACCTTCATAGCTTAAAGAAAAAAACACCGTTGTTTACCTATGATATCGACTACCTTCATAGCCTAATGAAAACCATTGTTGTTTACCTATGTCGACTTTGTGGACTTACCTCAGATGTTTAGTGTTTCAAAAGTTCTATAAAAATTTTGCTGTAACTATTTTCTATTTAAAAAAAATAGAACAGTTATAACAAATTAAAAAAAATGTGAAACACAAACCGTTTTACATAATTATTATTATTAAACAAATTACCAAAAAAATGTATAAATTACAAAAATAACAATTACTTCTCCGCCCCTTTTGTCAAAGTGACATGGATGGACGTTAAAATGTCATTTGAATTTTTGTTCTAAATTTAAAACTAGGTCAACAAAGATGGTATTCCGGCAAGATTTTATTCAATAAAGTGAACAATTAGTTACTAAATATAAAAGCATTTTTTTTAAGGGGGAAAATCATCGCATGACTGCTCAAATATACTGCATAGACCATTCCCAGATTCTTTTCAAAAATTGACAAAAATTCATCCAAAGGTTGTCTGGAAGGAATCGCCGCGAGTGATAAAACCGCCCATAGTCGTCAAATAACTTACAATGTTTACAAAATTTTTTTCTGTGTGCAATAAAGTATAATATCATTAATATACAACTTAAGATACAAAAAAATAAAAGTTAAATAAAAGAAAACTATAAATAAAAATTAATTATAATTGCTAATTACTATTTATAGAATGATCATAATTTTAAAGGTTTGAAGCCTTGAAGGTATGTGGTTGGGTTATAATAATAAATTGGCAGGGGTGTTTATACTACTCTAAATCTCTAAAATAAAACTCGGTGTTAAATTTAAAACATATCATTTATTGCGTTAAGAACTAAGTGTCAGTGCATCGCAAGAATTAAAACTAAACAATTAAAAATAAACTTTACTTACAACGCAAATAAAATGAATCATTTGACATAAAGTAGGTGCTCTTGATGAGCAAGAGAATACTATTCGAAGCTGTCGCTGGAAGAATCTCCAGTGTTGTAGAATTTCAACCCTTTGGAGCTCTGAAGACAAAAGATACATAAAATTACGCATTTTTATCCCTGAAGAGGCACAAGGATACCTATATTTTTAAAAACCCCCTTTTAACCAGTTAAATTATGAGTCCCTTGTAATAGAGGGTGAGTATTTTTTTTTACGGGGGGAACTACATCGAATAACTGCTCCCGCAGGCGGGAGCAGTTATTCGATGTAGTTCACCCAGGGGTGAGGTGGGAAGGAGTGTCAGACTCTTACTGACTAAAAACCACCCCGTTCCTTCTCCTGCACGTCGAGCCGGAGCCCCGGTTACCCGTTAGGTTCTCCGCGACAGAGGGTGAGTATACGGTGAGATAAGGATGAGACGTTATAAACTAAGTTTAAACCCGAATTCAACACGCTCGATTTTGAAGTCGGTTAATTGAAACAAAAAAGTGTAACAAGTGTTAAGTGTAACAAACACTTTTTTGAAAACCGCATCAAAATCGGTTCAGTCAATCGCGAGATAATCTTGCACAAACATACATAAATGCAGGTAAAACTGGAAGTCCTCTTTTTTTAACGTCCGTTAAAAATTGCCATACACCGGACAAATTCTAGATCTAGACTCAGTGGTGTTGCCACGGAAAAGCATAGTTTTTATTATTTCATGGGTGATGCTAAAAAATATTTAAAATAAGAGAAAAAAAAAATTAGAACAAATGAGTATTTAAGTGTGGGAGAAAACCGACGTGAAGCAACGCTTGCGTCGTGTGAGTGAGGTTACCGGAGGCCCAGCTACCCTACCTATACGTTCCATACAAAATTATTCATTTGTGCGTTACCGGCCTTTTAGCACCGACTTCTTACCTATCAGTGGGTGGGTAACCTATCAGTACTAAAAATAATTATTTCTTGCTTTTTAGTTTTGGCTTTTTGTTTGTTATTAGTTTTTGGTTTTTTGAAGTCGGTTTTTTGAGACAGGAAAGTCATCAGATAACTTCTACCACCTTGGGTGAGGTGGAAGTGAGTGTCAAACTCTTACTGACTTGTTCCTACTCCTGCTTTGAACCGGAGCTCATGTAATATACGAGTACGATACGTTACGATTTACTACATTTTATAGGATAGCGTGACGTAACGACCCCCCACTCCTAAACTTAACTCTGTTTTATCTAAGTACCTATTGTTTTCTTATGATACAAAATAAAAAAATATCTGTCGAATATTTTTTCATTATTCAACTGACGACCATTTTTAATGGTCAGGTTATGTTATGTACCTTTTTAATCAAAGTCATCAAATAACTTCACTCGCCTAGGGTGAGGTGAAAGTGAGTGTCAGACTCTAACTGACTAAAAACCACTCCGTTCCTACTTTTGGTTTGAACCGGAACCAATGTAATGTACCTAGAGTACTTACAGATGTGTACTCTTGTTCAATCGAGAATAATGATTGTGACTTGGCAGCGCTCATCGTGAGGGTCACGCCAGCTGCTGGCGGTGGAGGCGGCTGTGGTTGTACCAATGGTGGTGTGTACGTCTCATACAAATCTGGCTGTGGACCCAGAGGTTGCTCGGGATTCATACGACAGTGGCTCACAACCCATATCTGTTCGTCAAGTGACGGAGATCTGTAAGGAATTGAACTGATGAATCGTCATCATGTACAGCTACGCTATTTTGAAACTTTAAATTCGAAAGATTGAAGTGAATCCGATCGCGGTCCGCTATGTCGTTGGTTGTGAGAATAATCTCGATAAATGACGGGCGGGAATACGATCGAGCTCACATCGAAAGTTTAATATAACAGTTACAGAATAGCCTAAGAGATGCCAGTTCATCAACCTATTTCAATTTGTGAGTATTTCGTTGATAATTATGCTTTTATAGCAACAGAGGATACACAGACTGCCTCACTGGCCGAGTGGTCACAAGTGCGACTGCCGGGCAAAGGGTCTCGGGTTCGATTCCCGGGTAGGGCAAAGATTTACTGGGTTTTAAAAAAATCTCAGTAGTAGCTCTGAGTCTAGAATTGTGCCCGGTATATGGCGATAGGTTTACCCCCTACCTATTACATGGGACTCATAACATAAACAGGGAAAAGTGGGTAGTACATTGTACAGTGGCACAGTGTCCACCTCTGCCTACCCCTTCGGTAATAAAAGGCGTGATAGTATATACATATATACATGTGGCTTGATATTATATACACACAGTGTTTGCTGCTACTTAGATTTTTTCTAAAGAATTTAAAATTATGAAGTTATAGAGAAAACAAGTTAATTCAATTTAATTAACATTAGCCGTTATTTACGGTAAGCACTCGATTTTCTTATTATAACTAAAGTTCAAGTGAGAGCGTCCTTCGTAATCAGTGGTAATGTGTGGATCAATGGCTAACAGCTAGATAGTGGGAAGAATGCTATTATCACGAATAAAGAAGTAAAAGAGGATCATATCGTTATGAAAAATATCCATCAAACATTTCATTGCTATAACAAAGACTGATATTAAACTAATCTGAAATTCCGTTTTGATGATTTGGTGTTAGGCGAAATGTAAAATTGATATGATAATGAGTAGTGGATTCGATGTAGTGATATTATTAAATCCAGGCTCATCTTATATCAATTTAGTTTGGCAAAATGTAAACGTGGTTTCTATGTCAATGATGGCCGATATTTTATTTATTTATTATTTTTCAGTTCACTCACGTAATTATTTGACGAGGAACTCGACTAGTTTCAAGCCATGCTAGAGGTCAAATAATTACGTGAGTAAACCGAAATCAATATAATTAATTTAGTGTCTTACTGAAGTATGGTCTCATTAATATTCGGTATACCTTATTTTTTTTTAATAGAGAGTTAATTTTCGAATCCGTTATTACGCCTTTTAAAAATATATTTTCGATACTATCGCACATTGCAAACTCACACATCTTTGCTCATGAACGATTATAGGCGTTTTCTTTTTTTTATTTAAATGAACGTCGGATTTTACACATTGGGATTAGGATTTTCTATTGTGTCGTGGGTGCGTTTAAAAACATACAAGTTCACATACACAATGACATCCAGACCAGAAACAACAATTTGTGGATCACACAGTGTTGTTCCGTGCGGGAATCGAACCCGCGACACGTTGCATGGCAGCCGGTTGCCCAGCCACTGCACCAACCGTGCAGTCAAATTTGCCTATGACCAATTTAGGTTCTGATTTTTTTGTACATTATTCTATTGTTATACATTTCATTTGCAATTTGGTACGCGTGGGTATAATTTTCCAGTAGAGAAAAGAAATAAGTATGCAAAAGCCCAACTATGTATATTATACGTCATGCTACGTTTACAAAAAATACTACTAAACCTTCTAGTGCTGAGACAAAGCTAATTATTATCTATTTAGAGTCCACACCGTGCCAGAGGTGGCGTGTAATGCGTCCCAGGACATACTAAACGAGGCATACGACATGGCCGCTAGATTACTCTCCTTACATTTTCACAAAAAAATTGGCCCCAGGATGATACCTTGTGGAAACCGTGGAAGGTGGAGCTAAGTAGTGGAGCTAAGGAGAGTGACGTCACGGACGCCGGTGACAGCTGACTTGTGTGTGTCGCCTCGGGTCAAATAAAATAAAACTACTGTTTTATTTGATATATTTTATTCGCGAAAAGTTCATTAGTAGATAACTGATTACATATATTGTGGACACCAGTAGTGAACCAAATTAAACGATTTTAGGATTAGTTTTGTACCAGCCCCAGTGTTACGGTGACTAAATCTACCCTGTTCGAAAAAAAAAAAAATCCTTAACTTCTGTGTGAGTGTCGTGTGTGTGTTATCCCAAATACTGCAACACAAAATATCATGGCCAAATGCGGTGGATGCGGTCAATTCATTGCTGCGACAGCAAGCATTCGGTGTGGCAAGTGCGCGGTCTGCTACCACCGCGCCTGTGTGGGAGTACCGCCTTCAGCAACCCCCTCGCCTGCATGGCTGTGTCCTGGATGCAAGGCGAAACTTCCCAAGACCGACAATTCCGCGACACCGGTTAAAGGTGCAGCAGCGGATTGCTCGGTCCCAAATAGTCCCCCCACCGTCGCCCCCCCCGTGAGTCTGGATTTGGCGCATGAGATCAGAGCTTTCAGGGAGGAGTTAAGCGCTCTAAGGGTTGATATACGCGAGCTACGGCAGAAAATGCACAATTTAGAGCTGCCATAAACGGTTGCAATGAGCGGCTGGACGCGGTAGTGCACAGGGTGGACAGCCTCGAGCAGCGGTTCGAGGCGAAGGACCCCTCATCGTATGACCACCTGGAGGAGACGATCGCTGACTTAAAACTACAACTGAACGAGCGCGATCAGGACCTTCTGTTAAATGACGTCATCGTGTCGGGTATACCGGAGTCGAAGACCGAGAACCCGGCACACATACTTAAAACACTGTCGCTGAAGCTGGGGGTCGACCTTGACGATAGGGACATAGTAAACGTCGAGCGCCTCGGCATGGTACGTCGTAATTTTATCGCCGGTTCATCCCAGCACGATATAACGGAGCATCCGCGGCCGCGCGCCATCGCGGTGCGCCTTTCTCGCCGTACGGTGCGAGACAAACTACTTCAAGCGGCGCGCGTGCGCCGCGGCCTCACCACTGCGGACCTCGATCTACACGGCCAGCCTCGGAGGGTGTTTGTAAACGAGCACCTGACTCGCTCAAATGCAAAGTTATTCAATCTAGCTCGAGAGGCTGGGCAGCGCTCAAAGTACAAGTACGTGTGGACAAGGGAGGGACGCATCTACGTGCGGAAGGAGGACGGCGTCTCTGCTGTGCGCATTCGCTCGCACGCAGATATCAGAAAAACTTTTGGGGACGGTTATGTTTGATGAGTGTGGGTGTTAATAGATATTTCTGTTCTGTTTGTGTATTTCATTTTGTTTTGATTTTTTTGCTATATACCCTTTATCTTGTTGACGACCTCGCGATATGTGCTATGTTACATTTATTTTGTATTAATTTTTCTGCTACGTCATGTTGTAAATTGGCATCCTCGGCAATGTATGTATGGGCTAAGGTTGGTATTCCTTGCAGTGACGGTAAATTTTATTGTATCCTGGTTTATGCGACCCTACTTATTATTGGATATTATTATGTATATGCATATGTGCCTGTGTTCTTGTTATACTGTTTTCTATCTTTCTTTACTCATATATTATTTGTAACTCTTTAAGTAATGGCTATATTATAATAACAATATTTTTTAACAGAAATCTAGATACTCTCGCAGGGAAAAAATATACCTATTTTTGTTTATATTTAATCCATGATATAAAATGACCCCGAAAGAGTTTAAAATTGGTTTTCTTAACGCCGGGTCTTTAGGCACAAATCATGACGAGTTTATAGCCGCAGTGGATCATCATGATGTTGACATCATGGCGGTAAATGAGACATGGCTCAGGGCGGGGGAGGAGGCGCGCGCGCCGTCGGTTCCCGGCTACCGGCTGCGGCATGTACCGCGTCCGCTGAGCGTGCGCGGCGGCCGCGGCGGTGGTGTCGGATTCTTTATAAGATGCGGAATAAACGTACGGGCGCATTCCCACCCTACTGACCCTACACATACGTCGGTCGAACAGATGTGGCTCGTGTTTACCATAAACGGTATGAAGCTTGCCATAGGGACCGCCTATCGGCCGCCGTGGTTGGATGTGGACACGTTTCTGGACGCTCTGACCATGTCTGTAAATTCGTTAACATTCTGCGACTACACTGTGTTGTTGGGCGATTTTAATATAAATTTTATGAACACCTCACCACCTGACAGTAAATTAAACAAATTGCATATTTTTTTAAATTGCCTGAGCCTCAATCAGTTAGTAACATCGCCTACACACTTCACAACCAACAACTCGAGCCTTATAGATTTGGTGTGTACAGACGCAAGAGTTACTGATGTCAATGTGTACCCAATACAAGCTCTCGGTGCTCATGCATTTATTACAACTACTCTTCGTATAAAAAGGGAAAAAATCCGGCCTCGAATTGTAACTTATAGGGATATCAAAAACATTAACTTAGAAAATTTCAAAGAGGCTCTGGACGCGATCGACTGGCGTGGGGTAATTTCTTCTCATGACGTGGACTATATGGTGTACTGTCTGACAAACAATTTACTGTGTCTGTTTGACACATTTGCACCTCGCAGGAGTGTTAAGATGAGGGATAGATCCTATCCGTGGATTACAGAAAACATTAAACTTATGATGAAACTACGAGACAAAGCCTATAGGGAATTCCGAATTAATAACACATTAACTCACAAAAAACAATACTACATGGATTTTAAGAGTCTAGTAACTAAATCAATTTACCTTGAAAAAGTAGCCTACTTCAAATCAAATATTAATAACAACATCAAACATCCGAAGAGGCTTTGGAAGAATTTAAAATCCACCTTGCTACCTCTAAAGTCTGATATTGAACTACCCGCACATTTCAATGACCCAAACAAAATAAATGATCATTTTTTGAATGTTCCCGGCGATACAATTACTACCCTGTCGACTTACACCTACTATGAATTTCATAGGTTCTCTGATTGCATCCTCTCCCTTAATACAACCGATGACATGAAGATTCTAAGGATAATAACCAGCATAAAATCAAATGCTGAAGGTTGTGACCAGATAGCACTGAATATGTTTTTGTTAACAATACCACAAACTTTGAATGTCCTGACGCGTATTATAAATGCCTCCATAGTAACGGCAACTTTTCCGGCCGCCTGGAAATTAGCTAAGGTACGTCCTCTACCCAAAGTAAACAATCCTGGCGATCTTAAAGATTTAAGGCCTATTAGCATTCTACCCTTAATGTCTAAGGTCTTGGAAAGGGTGGTAAACGAACAGGTCTCCAAATTTATAGAGGACAGCAGTGTTCTGCCGGATGCGCAATCTGGTTTTAGGAGGGGCGTAGTACGGCCACGGCTTTGTTGGACGTCACTGACAATATACTGGCTGCGCAGGATGAGGGTTTGTGCACTATATTGGTCCTGCTGGATTTCTCGAGGGCATTTGATGCTATCAATTTATCTCTATTACTCTCTAAAATGGCGTACTACGGATTTGATATACCAACAATTAAATGGTTCGATAGTTACCTCAGCAACCGTGCGCAGCAGGTTGAATTTCGCGATGCTAATGGATCTTTCTTGGCTTCCGAGGTGAAACCTGTGACGAAGGGAGTTCCCCAAGGATCCATTTTAGGGCCTACCCTATTCCTATTATATTGTGCTGACATCATCAATATAATAAAAACATGCAAATATCATATCTACGCTGACGATATACAGATTTACTTGTCCTTTAGACCGGAAGAATACGCGAGTGCTGTAAATTCAATTAATGAGGACCTCGACAGGATAGTGAACTGGTCAAGCAGTAACTGCCTCATCTTAAATCCATCCAAAACAAAATTTATGCTTTTCGGAACAAAGACGCAACTTTACAAGACTCCTAGTAATATTAACGTTCTCTTGAGGGGTCAAATCATTGAGCGTGTCTATGAAGCGCGAAATTTGGGTCTGATAATGGATCAAGGTCTTAGGTTTGAGTCCCACATCTCTAACTGCGTCAGAAACTGTTTTTACCGCTTGAAGATACTTTACAGAATGCGCCCGTATCTAAGCGAGGAGTTGCGTGTGCGGCTGGTTGAGTCGTTGGTTCTATCCAAGCTAAACTACGCTGACGCGGTTATTGGACCTAGACTGTTTTCACGCACTGAGCGATTGATACAGAGGGTTCAGAACGCCTGCGCGCGTTTTTGTTTTAAAATTCCACCTAGGAGTCACATAACACCTTACTTAAACAAGTACAATCTTCTAAAAATGAAGTCCCGACGTAAGCTCCACCTGGCATGTCTCCTCTTTGGTGTGATTAAGTACAAGTGTCCAGCATACCTCTACTCGAAGCTCTCATGGGTGAATGCTCATCGGCAGCGGGAGGGTAGGCGGTGTGCACAACAGCTGGCTATACCGCAACACAAATCGGCTGCTTTTCGGGGTAGTTTCCGATATGCAGCTTCTAAGTGCTGGAACAATATACCTCCGCCAATCAGGAACCTGCAAAGCACTTTCACTTTTAAAAGAAAACTCAAGGAGTTTATTATTAACTCTCAAATTGAGAGTGAATCTATTAATATTGACATTTCGTTTATTTAATCTGACATTTATCCTTCTTTTTATTTTATTCGTATAATTGGGTACACAAATTATGTTAGTCACATTTTCATATTTATTTATTTTTATAATTATAATTATTTATTGCTTTCATTATTAATGTAACGTAGGATATCTCACATACTCACCCTCGAGCCCCTTGTTGTTGCGTCAGTGCTGGCGAAGTGTCGACCTGCTCGCTGTAACCTCTCGCAATGAGTGTCGGGCTGCGCGATAGCTTCACGACCACAACCTACCCACACTATTTTTAATTGTCGTGATATATGTGGTTTATAATGTTTTTATTTTTCTTCTCTTCGGTGACGGTACACGTAGCACTAGTTTATGTATGTATACTTATTTTTTATTTATTTATTTATTTATCGCACAATGTGCACACACAGAGGTCTGTGTTTAAATAATATCTTCCTTTTCTTTTATTGTTTTAACATGAGTTATGTATTCCATTATTTTCCTTTAAATAATTTTTCGTTGCCTCCGTCCGTGCGTCACTGCAGGGGTGCCAACTGAAAACCAGTGTTGGGTACTTACTGTGCCCAGCTTATGCTGAGTTGGCGGGCCCTTTCGTAGTGGACATGCTGCCACCCGGTCTCTTTTTATTTTGCTTTTTTTTTTATATAACGTTTTTTTTGTTTTATTGTTTTTTTTTTGTTATTTTATGTTTTTTATATTGTTTTATTTTCGGTGGTCCATGTCTGACGACGAATAAATTTATTTTTCTTTCTTTCTTTCTTTAGTTGCTAATGCTTTGTTTTCATACGCTCTGGTTAGGTTTAATAGCACTGGTTATGTCTATTAGTGTCTATTATGGTGCGGTAAGTAGTGTATTTAATTATATTGTTATTGTATTAAAAGGTTTTCCTCATAATGGGTAGGGAATGAGCATTCTATTTCCTTTTGTTTCTGACTATTCTTAGTACTGAAAATAAACTACTAAAAATATTCTAATTAGATTCAACAATTAGCAAATATAATATCACTTTTCGTCTTCTGGAAACGTTCCCCAGTTATTTTACGAATTTTATGACGCCTAACTTATGGTATTGTTTTTAGTTTTTTTTTATTGACTGTTGTAATTAATCTTATCTATACTAGAAAGATTTGTATTTTTGTATTTTTGTATGTTTGTAATGAATAAACTCAAAAACTACTGAACCGATTGTAATAATTTTTTCACCATTCGAAAGCTGCATTATTCAGAAGTAACATAGGCTATATAATATCACGCTAGGTCCTATAGTTGTGGAGCAGTAACCAAAAATGTTTTAAAAACGGGGGAAAAGTATCGTTTCTGAGGCCTTCCGTGGCGTGCGCTGAGCATATAGTTAAAGTTATACAAAAATGTTCTATAGATGAATTGTTTATCTTAACATTATTTTTAAAAAAGTCCGCGAGAGCATATGTCTACCTTTTATAGTTTACCCATAACAATCGTTTTAATGAATGGTTCAATCCTTATAAAAGTTTGCTCTAGATAACTTTTGAATTGTTCAATCGGTTACCTTAAGACGCGACATCGACAACGGAGGGCAGGTCGCTAAAAAAAAACTGAGAATAAATATAAATAAAACGTAAAACTATGTAAAAAATCTTAAGTCCCCCCGTGCGAAGCCGGGACGGGCCGCTAGTGTTGTATATATTTGTTCATAATTATGTTATTTAATGTAATGTATTATGTGTAAATAAATTAAATTGAACATTCCATTTGTTTAACGCTTCTATTATTCAAAAGCTTTATTCCTATTATTTTATTTTGCCAACAAGCGTGAACTATTTTTATGCACGTTGAACGCAGAGGGTCGTCAATCAGCAAGTCAATTAGTGCACCAATTAAGGTACGTTTCGATGGATCACTAATTAAATGTATATGGGTATCATCAACCTCGTGCGATATAATTTGATTTTATTAAAATTCCAGTTCGGTTGTAATTTATTTTTGGATGCTACCAGACTTATCTTGATGTTGTAGGTAAAAAATTGCCATTACTAATCTAATTAAACTTTAATCGTAATAATAGTTACAGACAGATAACAGAGCCGGACCTTTTGGGTCCAAACCCCAAAAAGGGTTTTTAAAGAATTTAGAAAGTTCAAGGATACCAGCAATCACTATTGTTCCGTGAAAAGGAAAATGGTCACGATTGGTAGTGACGTCATCACAGTCCAGAGAGTCGTGCCCACGTTTTGAAGTACGACGTGAATAATTGGAAGTTGATTGTAGTGCAATTTGCTAGACGTCAATATGATTAGTAGTTCTGCTGAATTGTGGTTACGACAAGCAATAACTTGGTCATTGCTCTCTGGGGTTCGACTGCTCTGCTTTATTTCTGTTCTTTGTTTTGCTTTAATTTAGCAAGAGCGTTAATCTTATTCTAACGAATGCGAAAAATGCTCTTTTCGCTTTATCTACTTAACCAATTTCTTAAAATGTATAGACATGTATAACTACAGTTACAGTTAAATACATAGACTATCTTTTTTAGGGAAATTTACTCAAGCAACAAGCTTATAGTTAGTTAACAATAAAAACTTACCTCAAAATTGCTCCTAATTCATCGTACTTGTATATCATCTTTGTCTTAGTATCGTAGAAGCCGTCTCCTGTATCATAATGGCCAGGAGGTATCTCTCTGGTGGGCTGGTCAGCAGTCAGGAAGGATTTTCCAGCAGGCATTAAGCCACGTTCATATTCTATTGCAAATCTGTGGGTGGAATAAATATTTTATTTGATATTTTTGTGTCGTGGTGGCCCGGAGGTTTAAGACGCCCGCTCCTCATGCATGATGATGCGAGTTTGAAACCTACCAACGGCAAGTTTAGTACCAATGTGACTTTTTCTGACTTATATGTACTTTCTAAGATTATTGTCACTGTCAAACAGTGAACGAAAACATTGTGAGGAAACCTGGGATTATAATTTCTAATTATAAGTAAATCAGCGTGGTGGTTAGTGCCCAAATCTTCTCCGTGGGAGAAGAGGCTTTGCTCAGCAATGGGCATTTATAGGCTGTTGATGATGATGATATTTTTGTGCCTTTTGACCGTTTAGTGGCTGATTAGTTTTGTGTAGTTTGCTGGATAAATGGCATAAACACTGGTGGGATACAATAGTTGTAAGCTTACATATACTATCATTCGGTTGTAATTATCAATCTATACGATTGTGAACATTAATAAAAGTTTCATCAATTTGATTTTATCAGGATGATACCTACCTATATCTAAGTAGAATATTCTGCGTCGAAAATGTTAAAATCTCATTTTGGCGATCAAAAACAGAAATGATATCGCAATATCTGCGGTTACTTTTAGAATTTGATCCCAAAACTTCCTAATTTGTCTGCTAAAGTTGGGTCGCAAATTAAAAATTTAATTTTAATTTAAATTTTCTACTCAGACCGCTTTGCACATGTTAAATTAGTAAAGGTTAATTAGTGGTTTCTCGTGAACCTGCTTTAATATCCACAAGAGAAATATTTTTGGGAAAAATGCAAAACATGTTTTAAACCGTGGCTACTTGTTTTGACAAATAGTTGTGAAGGTAGGTAATAAGTAGAGACTTATATTCTCTTTATGTATTACCATACATATTATTTATCTACTAATGATTTGAATGCATGGTTGGTGCGGTGGGTAGGTAACTAGCAACCGCGCAACGTATCGCGGGTTCGATTCCCACACGGAACAACCTTTTGTGTGATCCACAAATTGGTGTTCCGGGTATGGTCTTGTATGTTTGTAAACGCCACCACGACACATGTGATAATCCTAGTATGGGGCACAATTTCAATAGTAGTAGCAATTACTTACGTCTGACAGACTATTTTAATTCCAAACTATTTTAATTACACTTTATTTCCTTTACCTTCTATCAGGCGGTATACAGTACTTCCAATCCTTTTCAGCGTATTCCAAGCTATCGCTGAACAGGAGAGTTCTTTCTACCATGGTTCCATTTTCCCATCTGCCATGCAACACCATGCCGTCCGCGTAATGAAGCGCACCTTTCCCATGAAATACTCCATCGTCGAATTCACCTTTATACTTGACTCCTGTAAAATGTGAATAGAAAAATGTATCTTCATGAGGCCTGTTTTACCGCCTTCATGTAAGTACCCGATTTTAACAAAATGTAGGTACTATGAGGCAAATAGTTCATATACATTATGTTCTATATTCACAATCTGGTACATATCGGTTAACCAGATTGAACCAGAGTCTATTTAGCGAGGAAGGCTATATGCTATATAGTCTAGCCTAAGACTATGGGCTATAAAACATCACGATACGATTAAAAGGAGCAGGGGTTAAACCACGAGTAGCTAGTGTTTAAAAGATAATATGAATGTCATACCATTAGGGAAGGTATATGTTCCTTGTCCACTCATACCCAGAATATCCCAAGTGCCCTCATACTGTGAGGATGTAGGGAAGTGTTTGGTGGAACGAGCAGCTTGACGAATATCCAATGGACCTTGCCTGTGTAATGTAAAGAATGCAATCAAAAAAATAAGACCTAATTTTTAATTCACGTTATAACTAGACAATTATACTATACATGTAATAAAATCGTAGAAAAGTGAAAACTGTAAATTGAATATTTTTTGAAAAGAATGCTTGGGCGTGATCTACAAGTGATACCGAAGCTAAAAATATGGTTTTTAGAATTTGTGCCTGTTTGTCTGTATGTATCTCAGGGCTAAAATAAAAAAGTACTGTATGGATTTACTGCAAATTTTGCATGAATATCACTAAAAGGTCGGGTCAACATACGGGGATATACGGGGAACTACGGGGGAGGAGCTGTGAATCTAGTGATTAACAGTTCCTTCCCACTATTCCACGTGGACGAAGTCGTGGGCACAACTCAATTCAAGGTATCACAGGCATGAATGAAAACAATATTCCATCTCTATAATATATGTAGATTTAGACAAGTATTTTAAGGTTTATTAACATTACCACGCACTTGCATTGATCTCTACGAGAATCAGAAAACTTTCTCAGTAAATGTTCCCATTGTGAAATTCGCTTTTCAGGAAAATAGCTGAAAGCACAAGACAAAAAATTTAATGCTTAACTTCATCTATAGACCTAAGGTACCAAAGGTACCAAAGGTACCTTAGTTAGGCCTTTGATACATTTTAACCTGACATACTAATAGTCTTAAAATCTCCAGATAAATTTCAATCCTGGTGGCTAGTTTGTCTAACTAGACTAGCCTACTACGCAGGAGATGTGATAGTTCACAATCTGGTGCGCGAACACAGGTGCATTCTCTAAACCCGATGGAACGACGACCGACACGACCGGAGAGAGGTTAGGTGCAGGACCAGACTTTACGTGCTTTCCGAGACACGGGGGTGAAACACTAGAATTTCTGGAAGACTCAGGATTAATAAAGGTCATATTACTCAGAAAATGCCATTATCACGTTTTGGCCGGCGCGGGAATCGAACCCACTGCGACAACCGTGCAGACTACTAATAGTACTTCATAGTGTGATTTGTTCGCAGCGAGATGGAAGGATGTATGTCGTGAATGTGTAAGATTTTGTGGAAAGATGGACGGCTGATGAATTAGTTTTAAGTAATTATAATTATCGTACTTTTTATATAAAATACCTATTACAAAAGTGTAAATAAGTAACATTTTTTTATTGTTTAACTGTATAATGTTTTGGCTTGTGCTGTAAAATTATACATGTGCTTATAAATAAATAATAAATAAATCATGAACAGCCTGCGAGAACCCACTGCTGGATTACTTAACATATTAAAGTTAGTTCTGGACAATCTGAAACTACAAACAAAAGTACGTCTTCAACCTGAATATGAAGCAAAGTTTCTAATGAATAGCTAAATATGCATGTTCAGTGTGTATAGTGACGTCATTAAGGCACAGTTACGAGTATTAATGCAAGTAATGCAACTGTTACCAAGTAAATAGGTACAAGTGTGTCCCATTTCGGTGGAGACGCCAGACGAAGTTTGGGACCAAGTCTTAGAGAAGTAGAAGTTTTTGGTACAGTGTATTTAAAATTTATATTAGTTACCCGTGTTTTCGTTGGTGTATTGTACTTTGGTGTTGTTGTTTTTACTACGACTGTACTTTTATTATTTCTGGAGATTATTTCTGGAGTAGATTTTGTGTTCATAATAAATATTTGAAGAACTTACGAAGATATCATACTAATCCTCTTTGACGATGTCATAATGTAGAATGCTGTAAAAAATATAAAGTAACTTTTGTATACAATAATAACATGTTCAATTCTCGGAGAAAGTATCAGTACTTAGACAGAAAAGACAGTGCTTAAAACGGAACTCCCTTACACAATAAAACGGAAACAAATGTAATCAGCAAAAAGTATTGAATCTTTCTTCTACTTTAAATCTCTTGGGGGTGTTAAAAGCCTATTGTAATATAAATCAACCCAGCCATCGCGAAGGACGCTCCGGGCGTCGCGGATCGCGGGACGATCTTCGGCCACCGTAAGCGCGGGCCTGCGGACGGCGAGCATGGGTGGCTCGCTGCCCGACCAGAACCAGACCCAAGCGTATGGCACGTCGCATTCTGCGCGCGCCTCAAAGAGCCATCGGACCACTACGGATGGGGCCCAATAGGGCTGATGCCGATACGGAGCCGCGGAAAACCTAACGGGTTACCGGGGCTCCGGCTCGAAGTGCAGGAGTAGGAACGGGGTGGTTTGTAGTCAGTAAGAGTCTGACACTCCCTCCCGCCTCACCCAGACGGGAGAAGTCAATCGATGATTTTCGCGCATTAAAAAAAAATGTGCTATGAATAAAATTAATACAGCTTGAAGTAACAATGGATTACAAGCTATACCATATTGTAATAGGATAATGTAGGGATGTGTAATAATAAATACTTCTTGGTATAACACGTAATAATTTGAACAAAAGCTGTTCATAAATTGAGATGATAACTTCAGCGAAGAGGCTTTGTTCTGTGAAATAGTTCCCGGGTAATTAGGAACTTGTTTCAGATTAAGGTTGTGCAATATTTATACTAAATACTTACATAAATCTTGCTGCAATAAAATTTATAATAATTCAGGACAAAGGATAATCTTAATGTGGGCAACGTATGTTTGTTGGTTGTTTACCTAGATGTATAATGTTGTTTGTTTTTGCTTGAGAGGTAGAGCAGGTAGAGGTCATAGGTGTGACGTGTCAATAATAAGTGTAACATAACATCACGCTTTTATCCCCGAAGGGGTAGGTGCACATTACGGCACTCAATGCCACTGTACAATGTAACACCTATTATTCACTATTTATGTTATGTGTCCCATGTAGTTAGGGTATGAGCCTATTGCCATATACCGAGCATTATTCTAGACTACACGCTACCACTGGGGATTTTTAAAAACCCTGTAGTATTTTGCCCTACCCGGGCATGGAACCCCACTCGGCCAACGAGACAGTCTAATAAACGTATGTAAGTAATAAGTATGACTGCTAAATCAATAGTTATTTGAAAAATCTATTGGATCGAAAAACGAGATTTATGCAATTTGAGCCACCAAATATGCTTTTTATTAAGTTTAAAAGCAAAATTATGGCTTATTCCGAAAAATCGTTACCTGAAATGAAATGAAATGAAAGAGTTTTCAAAGAGTTTTTATTCGGCATACGGCATGAATGCAAGGAACAAAAAATAACAATATAATACAATAAGATAAAAAAAACAACACGCCTATTTCTTACTTGAATCATTATCAATCACTATGTTAAAATGTAAGTAGCCTTATGATTATTTATTCATCTTCCTATATTTATTTTAATCTTACAACAGTAGCAGGATTGTCAGGACAGGACACAATTATAAAAAACAAAAGTTCGACAAACATTGGAGAAATTAAGAGCATTGTATAAAAGCCTTAGTATGCAGAAGGCGGTGTGCGGTCATGGTCACACACAAGACATGCATTATTTATAATGAAAGAGTGAAACCGGGCATCGAACAATAAGTTTATTGCCAAAGCCATATTGTTGTCTTAGATGATGTCCGGGAAAAGTAATAAATATTTGATAGACGTGGCTAAGGCTATGGATTGCCAAATAAATAAATCTGTTTTAGAAATTATAAAAAGGCATTGTTTCATATTTGATATCATAAAAGTTTTCATCGAAAAAAATTGATAGAGCATTTTTAACTATTAGGTATTATTTTTTATTCGGAAAATACCAATGTATTTATTTTCTTTGTGTAAAATTTGAAATGGTAAAAATCTGTTCATTCATGAAACAATATGATATAATATTTAGTTTCCGTTTGTTTACATTATCATTTTATTAATTGTAAGTTGCATCGTCTCGTCTAGTAAGAGACAATTTAATCTCCTTCGTTTGCTTAAAATCATATAAACTTTACTTACAGACAAAAATGTGTATTTTACCGTATTTAAGTTGGGAAAATCCTAACTATTTCAAGAATTCGTAGCAAGCAAGTGAAGTCGACAAAGGAATAGATTAAACTATTGTTTTGACGCGGATGTGTGATGGAAGAAGGCTAGAAGGGCAGAGTGTCAGGTGCTCGTCTGTTCGTCATCTCGACGTAAATATTCAAGAGAGGAAACGAGGTCGCTCATTGTAGGCGCTGCAGGCGTTCTGTTTGCACATTCCCCCTTTATTTTCTACTATGTTTTATGTGTTGGTGTATAATTTGAGTATTAGAGGTAAATGAGTAGAATCTAAGTGATAGTTATTGTTTGTTAGTCGAATGATTGTTTATAAGAGACGTTGAAATACTCAAACGCTACTCAATTTTAAGTCGCGCTTAAGTCTAATTCTGTCACTACAACTTCTTAGTAAAAAGACAGAGATGAAGCGAATAAACTTTTAGGAAGTTGTGAGATAATAATTGTATGTAGTGTATTTTATTCAAGCTTCTTCGAATTGGACTAGATCTTTTGTATTTTATGTACCTAACATTTCATTTTCTTTCGTTTTTCATTCGCTAACTTAAAGACGTATTTTTAGATAGGGGTATCGTCGTAATATATTACGTAAACACGAAATAGATATATAATAATGTTTACTAAAAGTTTCAAAATTGTCCACAAAGCACACACATTCACACGTTCATTACAAGGCGCGGACATAAAACTCACTATACCTTAGAAGATTGTATAGAAAATTCAGAAAAACTGCTTTACATACATACAGCCACAGGTAAGCAAGGAACGTGGTATCAGAATGGCTCAAACGATTTCCTTCAAGCATGTTTCCGAGCCACCAAGCACAGCTCGAGCCATTTGAATAAACTACATGTTATTGCAATTTTTGTATATTTTTCAACGAACACACACATCTGTGTGCAAGTATCCACTTGTATTCCTCTCATAAATCCTGGATCTATTGCTTCTACTAAATATTACTAATGCAACTTTGTCATTATGTCGTTCGTTATTTGTAACTAGAGTACCCCGCGAGTTTGATTCGCCTTGAAAAAAAATCTAGGTATATATCTTTGTTAATTTTCTCTTACACCCTACACTCTAATAATAAAAAAGTCAACATGAAAGAATTAGCAAAATCGATTCAGCTGTTCTCGATATATGCGCTCAGTAACACATTCAGCAGACACACAATAGATATAAAGGTGACAGCAATTCTGGGAGCCCTCTCATTTGGTAATTATTTCGAAATTAATATTATATACAAAAACAAACAATAAACTTACCTTACGATTATCCAAAAAGATAAGTAAATCAAAGTTCTACCCAATAACTTTCATATAAAATATTGAATATCTTTTAAAAAGAATAAATATCCATTTCCGTCCTTACTGTCAATTGAATTTGACAGTTTATCAATACTAGTGTGCCCGCCATCTTGATTTGAGTGCGAAAATTTTAAATTACTAATATCAAGTAACCACGATGAAGATCAAGATGTCGTGTTAAAGAGCTTTCTTATTTCAGGGTTAAAGGGGATATTGCAAATACAATAATACACATTGCACGATTTATTTACATGTCACCCAATTTTTTTTTGTATCTTTCTCTGCATCATATTGGGAAGAAAAATTCTTTATTTTTATTGCCAAGAAAAGTTCTGAAAACTCACAATTACCCGAAAGCCTTTGATTAATACTGATTACTGATTAATCAAAGGCTAGAATCAAAGAATAGAAACAATAATATCTTCAACAACTTTCCTATTGCGTACGTGTTTCATTTATTAGGAAACGTGGGGTTTGATGTGTTTATAGCATTTTATTATTTGTGACAAAGAAACCGTCGGTTGGCAACAGAAGAGACGTTTTGTCGCCATTCGTACAGACACACATTAATAATTAGTTCCGTTGACTGTATGCGATTCGTTCTAGAGAAAGTCTCCTACACTGCAGTACTCCATGCCGACAGACAACAAAGTGTCTGTGGTTGTTCAGTTTAATTCGTTAATTTCACAACATTATCTAAATTGAAGTCTAACTTTAACACGTTAAAGTGTACATTTAATTAGATAATATTATTGTGTTCTGTCAATGTCAATAATCCTCTAAAGAAAACCTGATTTTGCAGAATGCTATGCTGAAAAATATAAAGTTTTCCTTTCGCGTATCAATTATACCTACATTAGTGTTCTCTTCGACTAAAACTTGAAATGTAAACCCTTTTACTGAGATTTTGGGACATATCCCATCGAATTTATGTCCAGAAAATAGAATTCGAAATTGCTCTGAAAATTTTGTGAATGTAAATTTTTAATTCAGTGAGGTCGTTTGAGATCGAACTGCTGCTTTCATCTTTTTGTTTCTAGTGTCCTGGTACGTGGAAATGAATTCGGTGGAACAATATGCGCAAGTTTTATTTGAATGAATGGGACTGATGCATCTAGTGCCCTGTTGTCTCGCTAGTTCGTTATAGTTTTATGAACTCAGTCTCATGCGAGCCGTCTGTTTTCATTGCCTCTTTGTCAAATAAGTATGTTATGAATATACGTTTCAAACTAGTTTTTGTTCCAGTAGAATATTACGCCTTTTGTGTGCACTGTTACGTTTATTTTGTGTGTATTTTTATTATATTCCTGTTCGTTGTGGTCTGTATTTATACGCTTGGAAAGGTGCCTAAACTATTCTGTATCTGCAGTTATGTGTGTAGTACTTTGTAGTTGTTGAAAATGTTATTAAAACTGTTTTTTTCGTGTTTAAATGAAAATTATGAATGCTATTTTCTGATTG